AGAGTTTGCAGATCGTGAAAAGGTATCACTTTTATCACAATTTCTATCTAAACACAAAGGCGATTCCTGGTGGGAATTGAAATTTATTTTAATTTTCCGCTGTGCATGTTAAGTAGATTCTCAACAGTGGTATTAGAGCTTACTTTGTGTTTGTTAGAAATTGTTTAATGTCTTTGTGCAATCAAAAGTTGATTGTTTTACCTTTTCCAGTTTTCTAGAAATTAATGGAATTTGATGTTGATATTTTGAAATCTGATTTTGAGGAAAAAAAAAAAAAAAAAAAAAAAAAAAAAAAAAAGGAAGAAGAAGAACGCATAGAGAGAAAAAAATGAAGAAGAAAAGGCTTTACCAGGCTTGAAGAAAACTGATAGCCCAAAATCAATAGCCTTTAGTGGAGATGTTTCCTTCTTATTTGCAAACAAAAAGTTTTCAGGCTTAAGATCACGATGCATGACCCCATGCTTATGACACATCTGCAGAACAGCCACACATATTAACTCAAACAGTGAAGCACAATATAGTATGATTTCTTTGAAAAGAATCTAGTGGGGGAAAAAAGAAAATGTCAGAACTATGAGAATGGATGGGACCTATAATTTCTCATTCAGAATAGCATATGTGAAAGAGATGTCGAGCAATGCATCTAAACACAGAGTAGAACAAAGAAATCAAATAGTAGCAATTAAAATATCATTGTGCTTGTTAGTCTAGGACCAATTCACAAATGCCCAACATTAAATTACTTCCAGCAGACGAATGTGAAACTTTTTTGAATACAATATAAGAAAAAATAAGAGAGAGTGAATAAGCATTGTTAAGCCTAGATAATCGAAACATCCAGAAAGCCTTAATACATTTTATCAGACTTCAGATAGCCAAAAGTTGAAAAACCAACAGGCAGAGCATACTCGAAATCAGATTGATCATCAAGCAAACTTTTTAAACCTCAAATAAACCATTTCAGTTGCCGTCCTCAATTACTCACTGTAGTAGGTTTCATGTAATTTAGCAAGTAGATCTTCTATAACAAAATATGCAGGAAATTAAAGGTATGGAAATTAGAACTATGAAGTACGAACTATAACAAAATATGCAGATCAGGCTTCAAACTATATAGGAAAACCAAAATCAAATATATCGAATCTTCACCTCAATAACTTCAACAATTGTGCGAGTAACAGCAGCTGCAGCTCTCTCAGTATAATGTCCTCTAGCAACAATCCTATCAAACAATTCACCACCCTCACACAACTCCATCACTATGTGGACTGCATTATCATCCTCATAAGTATCCTTCAAACTTACAATATTGGGATGCTTAGGCAATTTTTTCATGATCTCGACCTCTCTCCTTACATCCTCGATATCCACTCTCGTTCTTAATTTCTTCTTGGACATCGATTTACAAGCAAAAACTTCCCTACTAGATTTGTCCGTACATAAATATGTAACCCCAAATTCACCACGACCTAGTTCACGACCGAGCTCATAGAACTGCTCAATATTATGGCCTGTTGGATTGCTTAACACATAGGATTTGAATCCCCCATTAGGTATTGCTTGATTACCAGCATAGTCAATAGCAAAGGGGTTCGGCTTATGCTTCCCCTTTTTTACCTCGTCGGACGTTTTTGGTACAGCACAGCAATTCCCCATAACGCTATTAACTTCAACCCTTTACAAACAATGGATCTCAAGATTTGAGCCAAATACAGACAAATATCTATCAAAATCTGTCTTTTTATCAAAGCTTCAGTTCCCTCAACTAAACCTTCAGTTCTTAAACTTTCCCCACCTTTTGGATCTATCGGCCAATTGAGCTTCTGAATTTCAAGAATAACAGCGATTTACAAGATCTAAATCCAATCTTTATGACAAAACCACACAAGAATCAAGAAGATAAATAGAGAGTTTTCAAGCTTTCAAAACCCAAAAATCTCAGATCTCTTACAACACGAATCAATATAAAGATTTCAGGTGAAAGGGGTGGAAAAACCAAGAATATTAGCTGGAAATGTCATCTTCTTATGGCAAAAAAATATTCTAGAAAAATCTGACAATAAAGAGAGAAATTTGGAACGCCAAAAACTTTGGAACGTATGGGAGGTTATTTAGGGGAAAAGTTGAAGGTTCGGGGATGGAGAAGAGGACGATGAAAATGGGAATTTTGCACATCATCTGGAGAGGAGAGAGACCTTCCTCCTCCTTTTGTCTCTATCATTTTTTCTCTCTTTCTTTGACTTTTTTTCTTTACCTTTTTCTCCTTCATATGTAATCGTTCTGAAAAATGAAATTTTGTTGTTTCCAACATTTACACGTTGCTTTTCACATTTACATTATTGAATCGGAACGCATCTTCTTGTTATTTTTTACACATTTTGATCCTTTGAAAAACAAAATCACAAATTAACTTACTAAACATAAAACAATTTTTTTTCATGATGATGATTTCGAAGAAAATCATCACCCATCCAAACAATCAAATAATCTTTCATGTCCTAGCACCGATGGATAGAAGGTGAGTTCTGTATGTAGTTGCCATGATCTAATAGTAAAAAGAAGATAATCTTCTTTATCGTTTTAACCTGACATTTGCGTCGTCAAATAAACATTTAATTGCATAAATGATCATTTTTGTCTAATTTCATCCATTTCCTTTATGAAGTAGGCTTGTGCCCTCCACTTGGAGGGAATGGTGATTTATGCAATAAAAGGTTAATTCGAGGGTACAAGTGTCATATTTGAAACAAAGTGAATGATATTTTTAAGGAGGGTATATGACATTGATGTTATGTGTCATTGCCCACATTGATGGTCCAAAAAAGATGACTTCTATGAAAGAACGAAAGTCGTTTGCAAGTATAAATGAGATGGGACTTAGGTATATTTAATCATCGTATGTAAATTTAGGTTAACTAGATAATCAATCTCGATCTAACTTTCATACAACTAGTGCATAAATTTTTTTATCCCTTATTGTATTTAATCTTATTGAGCCCAACGTACTCATCATGAGTCTATTTTAGAGCATGTTTGAGAAGTGTTTATAAGTGATTTTGTTTATAAATAAATATAAATAAATGGTAGATAATGCTTGTAAATTTTACAAAATGCATAAATAAAATTTTTTTGGATATTTATAGATATATTTATAAACATGAGCCTAAAATAAATTTAGCCCCCGTTTGGCCCCCATTTTGTGAAAATGAAAATGGGCAAAATAATATTTTTCTGAAAAATGAGTGGTTGAAAAAGAATGAATTTTTATTTATTTATGTATAATATTATTTTATGGAAGATTATGTGATTGAAAATAAGATAGAAAAATAAAATGTAATGTAATGAAAATTAATGGGGGCTTTAGTTACATGGTTTTTTGTATAGCCATTTTTAAACTCATCCAAGATTTCTCCTCCTTCCATTTTTTTGTATTTGTTGTATTGGGGATTTCAAACTATGTTCCTATTTGGTTAAAATTAGATTTTTAGTAATTTTTATGATAATTGATGGAATGTGTGACTGAAAAATTATAAATATTATTAAATGCAATAAATTTAATTGTTGACCAAAATCTTGATTTTAATTCGTATGAATATGAACTTTGTATTGCAGAACGGAAATTTGAAAAGGCTTGTGAATAAAAACGTCATTATATATTCAAGATAAATCCTTGTTTGGCTCCTATTCTTTTCAAATTTTAATGGTTGAAATAATATTTTTTTAAAAATGTGTGGTTGAAAAAGAATAAAAAATTTTTATTGGCGTATAATATTATTTTATAAATGATTATATGGTTGAAAATAAGAGGGGGAAAAAAAGAGATGGAGAGTGCTGCCGTTAGTTGCTTTTTGTCAACTTTGGCGTTCTAGAAGCTCACCAAAAGAAGCTGGCCGAGAAGTAGCAGTATAGCCTCCGTTTATTCTTGTTTACAAATTTACCCCCAATACCACCTCTTGCATTGTGGCCTCTCTAGTACTGTTGATGGTCTGCATTGTCATTGCACAAACAATATTGTAGCGCGTTGATTTGACGAGCCTCACATCGTTACCGACTATAATAGGGGCCCTACCCTTTTAGTAGTGCCAATACCATTTCAATATTCCTGTTTATCGTCCTATTTAACCCGTGTTTGTTAGGCAAACAATTAATTTTTTAATAAATTTTAATAAAATATATGACTAAAAAGTAAATAAATGATGTGTGTATCATAAAACATGTGATAAAATTAATTGTTCACTTCGATTTAAAATTTTATCAACTTTTTAATAAAATCTCTCAACTATATTTAGAAATGAATTGATCATCCATAAAGATAAAGAGAGTTTTCTTGTAGTTCCGCTTCTTGCTCTAAAAATGAAGAAAGACTCGTTAAATAGGGTCTTTTGGGTTGGTCCGAGCAAGAAAAGGCATGAGAGTCTTTGGCCATGGAAAGTTTCGCGCTATTTTCTATCTCATATCTAAAATTTAGAACACTAAACACTAACCCGATCAAATAAAAGAGAGAAATCAATGAACAAGCGATTCATGTGATAAATATTAACTTCTATGTTTCTTATTTAAAGCTGTTTGAAGAAATATTCAAGCCGTTCATTGTTTAGATATTGAAATAAGGTTTCGTATCTAAAGGTTTACTATTTAGATGGAGTTGTCAACACCCTTTATAAGCCTATTTATCTTTCCATGACCGAATAACACGTTTTCATGTTAGTCAACTGTTGCTCCAATGTCCATAATTTTATTCTCACTTTCCAACAATCCCCTCTTCCAATGAAGTGCCACGTTACTTTGACCTTCTTCAACTGACTATCTATGACTTCTTCTATCCAGGACGGATCATAAATATCAATGCTAAACTTTTCCACACCAAAATTTGGGATTGGTTTCCAAGAAAACCAGACTGTCACTCCAAAATCCATTTAGAACGCATTCTTTATAGTATCATAGTTAAGCACAAGAGGAGGAGTAGCATGATGACAACTGTTTATATTGCTATATGAGAAGCCACCTACCTAATTAAAATATTATGCCTCTGTTACGAGTGATATTTGGAAGCTTCTTTGCCGTCCTCATCGGGGGCCGGCCAGGCCAAACGGTTTCAAATTCAATGTTATCTAGGTCCCGTTTGAGCCATATTAATGTAAGAATGAGAATGAAAAATATAGTTATTACGAGCCCCACACAAAAAATAGAAAGTCAAATATGGTGGTTTGATGTGATGGATAACAATAATATTTTTCATTTTTTTGTGCAAATAATGATAAACAAACAGGGGCTAATATCACTTCTACCACATATTGATTCTCACGAGTCAAAGTTAAATTTAATTTGAAAAAAAAAAAAAAAAAAAGGAATCTGTTTCATCACGTGAAACACAATTTATCATATATTAGTATCAATTCAGAATTTTTGGTTTCAATATTTGTTTTGCAACAACCATATGGAGAAAACTTTTCAAATTATTTGACATTTAGACGAGTTAATATTATGGATTTCTTTAAAGAATAAGTGTAATAATATATTTTTCAATTTCAAAGCGAATTCAAAAATGCAAACCATTGTAAAGAAAAGAAAATGCGTTTTGCTGATTTCACTTGCAAAACATAAACTTTTAATGGTAAAGGATAATCACGTCGATAACGTGGCAAAAACAAATTGTCATTTTATTTATTGCCACGATAAATATTTACTTTTTTAATAATTTTAACTCTCGTGTAAATATACCAAAAACCCCCCGATTGATATAATAATCACAATTGAATCTCCGTTTTCATATAACTACAAAGCAATCGGAATAACCTCTGAATATTCTCTTAGACTATATTTGCCTTGGAATAACCTCCAAATCAATTATGCACCTTTTTTCCTTTTTCCTCTTTGATAGGTAACGCACGTGTGTAGTATAGTTGTAATATAACGTAAATAACAAAACTACCACTGAACTTGTGTATCTAAATTTACATTATGGTATATTGTTAACGTCATGTTATCACTTATTACCCAATATCAATTAACAAATCTTAATAAGGAGATCTTCTTTTATGGTCCAAATAAAAAGGGTAAATTCGTTAGGTGGCTCGAACCTTTTCAGAGTGCGATATCTATGTTCTCAACCTTTAGTTTATACTACACCGTTCTTTCAATCTTTTAACATGGTATCACGGTGTTTCAATTTGACAATATGTCTAAATAAACAGTAAGAGATAGCTCGATAGACACGTGATAGATGACCGAATAGTATAATTGTCCAAAAATAATCTTCCTCTTCACTTTGAATAATTTTTACTATAAAGTAAGATGTCAAAGTTAACGAAATAAATTAAACTTAAAGAGGCCTATAATTCTGGAGATTCAAAATACAAAGTGCTTCTTTCGGTTCCTTAAAAATTAGTAGCTTACTGTTTACGTCTATAGGACACGTATATCTCGAATTAATAGTGTATATGAATTGATTGAAGAAATTGACATAACTATTAACTACATACCACATAAATAATGTGGGGAGTTGGGACTATGGCTGAAAATTCAATACATGATATCGTTTTCACTACAACCCATGAAGAATGGCACCAAATATAAATGTCAACTCACAAATAATAAGCATAAATAAAATAAATAATATCTTAATTATAGAATTTTTAGAAAATTAAATTCAATTATTAAGATGATTAATTTTTATTTTATTAATATTGAGAAATTATTATTCTATCGATACATCTTAACGCTGACGATCAACCTACCGTTACCCTCTTTTACTCAAACTACTTAAGATGGAAGATAAAACAGAAAATAGAAAAAATAGAGAAAATTTTTATTAGGTGTAAGAAAATTACAATTTCACTATTAATACCAAGAAATAACTGTCTCCAAATTTATCTTCCACTATGCAAAAAACCCTCGAATCTGATTGCTCTGGACTCCTTCTATTAAAATTTTTTATTTCACTTCCACGTGTAAAAATTTAACAGAAAGATAAGCCCACCATTTGGGCCTGACCCATTAATCGGGCCGCTGAATGCTCGTAAATTCCAAAAGTGAAAATTACGGAATTTCTTACTTTAAAAATTCACAATTCTAAAATAAGATTGATAGTTTAACCTTTCAAAAATTAGAAATTTTATTTTAATTAATATTTTTTAAAATAAATATTTTTACTAAATATATATATTCTATTACACACACAAACCCTAATTAATTCCCAATACTCTCTTTCTCTCTCTCTCTCTCTCTCTCTCTCTCTCTCTCTCTCTCTCTCTCTCTATATATATATATATATATAAGTTTATTA